GTAAAGGAATTTACCATGCACCCGGTGGCCTAAGCTTGATCCCCAGGTCCCACATCAAGGCAGAAGGAGAGAATCAGCTCCATAAAGTTGTCTTCTAACCTCCATGAGCACACTCTGGTATGTGTGTCAACAGACACAACCAATTTAAAACTTTAAATCTTAAAAAAGGAGATAATCCAAAACTGACAATTTGAGAGAGGCAAAGTTAAGAGAATGTACTCAATGAAACTACTGTCCACTAAAAGAACTGTAACTATACAGACAAGCTGAAGAGAAAGCAGCTTAAATAACTCAATACTTCACTTTTTTAAATACATTAATACTAGCTCTCTTCCAAAAGACTATTACTCTGCCATGCAATTTGCTAATTTGTGATGAGATAAACTGTTCTGTTTTTTAAAAAAGAAAACCTAAAGCAATTGCAGACCTTACCTGCACAATCTTTGGTCTCTGAAGGAAAATCTCAGCAGGAAAGTCTTGCATGATCACATCCTTCAGAAGCTCACATGTGTTCCAGATCAGAGTGTGGTTACTACTTCTCAAAGAGCTAGGACAACAGAGTTAGACGTCAGAAGCGTCCTCCTACACCTGCCTATGTCAGCTGGTGGCATAAATGTTTCCATTACACCTAAGGCTTAGCAGCAGCATCACTATTTCCGGTGACGCAGCCTCCATCTTTTCATAGTGAACTCTGAGGAGGAGCTCCTTCCAGATGCCTACACTTGTAACGCAGTGACTGCTTGCTGGCTTTGATCCTCCACCAGACTACACTCAGAACAGCAACTCTATCACATCAGCCACTGAGTGTGGAAACTCACGGTTCTACCAAATGGGCCTGCTGAGGTCAAACACGATTTTCTAATTCAAAGAAAAGAGAACAGCCTAGTCATCTTCCCGATTCTAGCTAGGTGTCTTCTTATCCCACACCCCTCAGCTTCTACTTACCTGAGGATGCAGCAATTGTCCACAACCCACCTAGGGTTGGGCCACCTCTTCCTTAGGTACTGACTCACAACTCTTTCTAAGGTGCGCATTACCTATACAATACTTTCCCCTAAGAAAATGATGGGAGCATTATCAGGATCACTTGTATCTTGCCTTAACTCTTTCAAGTTGGATTTTTTGCATAAATTCACACCTTATCGAAAGAGGCAGGTCATTTATTGTGATATCAATGAAATCGTATCAAATGAATATGGATATTAAAAACACTCTCTGGGACTGGAGAGATAACTCAGTATTCAAGAGCACATGCTGCTCTTGCAGAGGAAGCCATGTTCAATACCCAGCACCCACATCACGCAGCTCTGAACCTGTAACTCCAGCTCTGGGGGATCAGATGCCCTCTTCTGGACTTCTCTGGCACCTGCACTCACACATGCACAAACCCACACACAGACATATATAATTAAAAATACAAATAAGACTTGCTCTATTTTTAATTTTTAAGAAAGAGTCTCAATATGTTGCCCTGGCTGGCCTCAAACTCACAGAGATGCACCTGTCTCTGCCTAAAGAGTACTTGTATTAAAAGTGAGTTCCACTATGGTCAGTCCTAAAAAAATAATAATAATAATTAAAAAAAAACTTTAAAAAACAAAAACAATAAACAAAACTCTGCAAACTTTTATATATCAGCCCTCTACTTCTGAAGGTAATAAAATCAGGACACAATAGAGAAGATCAGTGCGGTTATCTCCAACCTTCTCAACAGTGGTAAGTTTTTCTCCTAATGGAGCCCACGTTTTAAAATATATTTTATCAAAAAGATTATTTATGTTTTCCATCGTTGTTTATGAAGGGCACAGGAAATGGGCAATCAGACCAGACAATCTACACCATAAGAGCTAGCATGTTATGAAAGATTATGTAAGATTCCAATCACAAAGAGAAACTGAGTGAGCCAGGTGTATAGTGCATGTTTATCACCACGGTACAAGAGAGGAGCAAAGCGGAAGGGAGGAGTCAGTAGGTCAAGGTCATCCTCGACTACAAGTAGCAAGTTTGAGGCCATCTTAGGCTACATGATATCCTATCTGAGAGGGAAAAATGGGCAAGTAGATTGCTCAAAGATACAGACATACAACCATTTTCTGGCCTTTTTTTTTTAATACTGAAAACTGTACCTCTTTTCAATACTTGTTACCATTTCCAGATGAAAACATATTGTGGTAACTATCAGATTGTTTATGGCTACAAAGAACCAAAAAGACCTATAATACATCAGAACTGTACCTTTCATTGGAGGAAAGAACATGTCTATCTGTTGTGGTCAGGGGTAGCCAAGGAAATACAGAAAACTTCAGCCACTTCACAGTTGGGTTTCCTGTTAAAGGAACATCAAACTTAAGATGTCAAAGGATCGAACATGACAGTGTGCAAATAATACCTATAAGCTGTAAAATGAAATTAACCTTTTCCTTCCAGATTGCTCTGGGTCATGGTATTAATCACAGCAATAGGAAACAAACTAATGTAAGTCACTACAAAGAATCATCAGGAAGGTCTCTACAACACAAGTACAAGAGCATAAACCAGACATAGGACAACCACACACTAAGACCTGGAAGTGAGACTCCTGGAAGAGAACGCTAAATCAAGAGGCCCTGATCTTACGTCAACTGGGTGTTAGACAAATTGTGATGAAAAGGAAACTAGGCTGACCCTGAGTCTCCAAGAGGAATAGCTGGACTGATGATCCCATTTCATAAGCTGGTACCACCCATGACACCAGCCATGCATCATACCTGGCACAAACCTGATAAGAACTTGTGTTCAACAAGCACTCAATCTAGTGACAGCACCAACACCTGCCTACCTGGCTCAATACAGTCAGTGACACTTAAACCTGACCACACAGACTCAAAATCCTAAGCTAGTACGACGCAAATGAAACATTAAACTTTGTGCTGAGGCTTTCCAGTCTGACCACAACGTATCTTTGGAGCAAGAAAGAAGAGTCCATTGATCTTTCTGTCAACCGATCAAACACGTCCCCATCTATACACACCCACTGGCCCTGACAGTACGTCCATCTGCTGGAAATTCCTTTTGTCTTGGGAGAAATATCCTGTTAAAACTTCATGTTGTTGTGATAATTCTGAAAAGAAAATACATGAATTACTGTGTTATTAATTCCCCTGCTAAAATAAAATTATTCATTTTAAATTATTTTGTTTCCTCCCACTCTTTCAATGATTATTAACACAAAGAAAAACAAAAAAAGGCAATCTAGCTTGTTCTGTGAATACTGTATCTCCCAAAACAAGAAAAAAAATTACTGTTCACATAGATACATACACACACACAAATCTAATAAAGATTTTAAAGAGAATACACAGCAAAAAAAATTAACAAAATTGAATACAGAAAAACATTTACCAATTTGATCAGTTTGATAAGTGGCAGAACACAGAGTAGGAACTTCTGAAGGGAGAATAAAAAGTCCATCAAGAATGCCATCAATCTCGGCCTGTATTGCTGGCTCCACATTTGGACGGAGCTTAGACAAGAACTCTACTGCACCAAGGTCAATCATGTGCTGGACCGCTGGGGAATGCTACAGTAAGAGAAAAAGTCTTGAGAATAGCCGTGAACACAAAAATGTTCGAAACTTCATTTTCGACACACAGTCAACACATAGTTATTTTGGTACATCAAATATTCCATGTTTTGAAAAACAAATTCTGAGTCTCAGGGTAAACAACTTCCATGAATCAAACATAAGGTAAGGAAAGACAAAATTGAGAGAGAAATCTTAAGAGAGAGAAGCCAAGACTCTGAGCACTGAAAACACAAACTACAAATTCCTCTTTTATTTTTAAATGTTTGATTGTTAATATAGTGACCTTAGAAATTGGGTTTCATTACAACACTTTTATACATTCTCATCACTGCACTGTCTCCCCAACACACACACACACACACACACACACACTCCACTGGTTGACCCTTGTCTCTTATATATAGTTACTTTTCTCTACTGACACTTTATCCTATCCTTACTGTAAATCAAGATGCCAAAATCATTAGGATTCCTCCACAAGGACAGTGATTTAAAGGTATAAAAAAATTGAACTTATACTGACACTGATCCCTACAATTAAGTTACTCTTAAGGTAGGTAGAGGAACAAAACCCATTGTTTTTAATGGAATAGCTTATATCTGATGTTAATTAAACACATTTAAATGTGTTTCTTTTAATACTGAAACATCTAAATTAAACATTAAATATGAGAAAAATGAAGAAAAACAAGCAGCAAATAATCGGAAATAGAAGATACAATATCTTAGTAATTCTATTTCAGGGTACAGTACCACGTGAGATTAGGCTATTACAACAAGTGACGAGCAAGATCTGCCCAGGTGAACTAGAATTCATCACCTCTGCTTGTCTTCAAACTTATTTTAAATCTCAAGTATGGTTTTCCATAAATGCTGCATTTAATTTTGAGTCTGGTTGCTTTACTCCAAAACGTTACCTTAACCAATCTGCTTAACAAGGTCAGAACCTCTTCTTTCATTGGGACGGATGGGAAATTGAACCATTCGAGCAAATGGAGAAAAAGCAACCTTTCCTGAATCAGGTCAGCATCGCAGATCAAACTGTGCTCGATCTTGCACAGGATACTTTTGAGGGCGCGCTCCCTGATCTCCGCCAGCGGATGGCCTGTCAAAGAAGTTGGCACAAAGTAATTTCATCTCCAATTCTGAAGAGACGACCCACCCATAAGCTATTGTGAATGTGAGTGGTTTGCTCTGGGGTGAAACTAAGTGTTCTGGAGGCCGCGGGTGCCTCAGAAGCCACCGAGCACTACACAGTGTGTGCAGGCTGCTCTGGGCGGTGACCGCGCGACCACCACGCCAAGACCCGAGGGCTCCTCCGACCCTGGGCAACAGAGACAGTTACCAAGCTTCCTGATGAGCCCCGACAGAACCATCTCGTCGCCACCAGCTGCCGCCGCCGGAGAATTAAACAGTCGCGCCACAGCCTCCGGCCATAATTAATGTCCCCCGGAAACTCAACCGACAGGAACAGCAGTTCCGCGGTGTATGAGCTGGACACCCCTTGAGTAAAGAGCATTGGGTGAGATGTTCTCAATGCTTCTGTCAACACCTAAGGCTAAAATCTGTATAAGTTGCTACTGCTCATTTCCTAGATCGAAATCTTGGTTCTAAGAAGCCGGAATGAATAAAGGTGTCAAGAGGAGGTAGACGCCTCTTCCGCCAAAGTGCATGTCGGGAGTTGTAGTCCTAGCTCAGCGCTGCTCCCTGCAGGAGTTCCGGACACGCCCCATCGCTCCTTAATTCAGAGTTCCGGCCTTCAGGCGCGGGCTCTGAAGCGGGTACCTAGCTCCTGGCAGCTGTCCAAGACGCTGGTGCTCTCCTCTCCCTCCAAGAATTTGTTCAGGCCCTGACAATCTGAATATTTAGTTTCAAGAGCTTGGGTATTGTTTTGTAAAGCTGCCCTTCCAGTACTCTCCCTGATTACTAAATGACTCAAACTGTAAAGTGTAACTGCCAAGTTCTGCAGCGCTGGGATACCTGACCTCAAGTATAAATGCAAGGCACAAAAGGAGGAGAGGGGGAAGGAAACAAGAGCCTGGAAGAGGACAAAAGAAAAAGAAACTCAGCGGGAAGGTTCTATTTAGCCAAGCTGATTTTTCTAACATGCACTGTAATCAATCTCAACTAAAAGAAATTATAAACGATAGTAAGAGTGATGCCACAATTAAACTTATAGAATGATTCGCATTTTAGGGAGCATTTGGGGGGTACTGGTTTTTTCACTCTCCCTAAGAAGAGACTGACTGTCAATCAAGATAGAAAGATAGATAACCCATTCTTTTCATTTCTTTCTTTCTTTCTTCCTTCCTTCCTTCCTTCCTTCCTTTCTTTCTTGCAATTTAAAAATCCGAGGATAACCAACCCAAAGTCACACTGACTAGTAAGATTAAGAAACTAGGCTGAAGTTTCTTATCGCCATTAGAACAGTGCTGCTTGTGTGGGGGTGTTTCTTTCTGTTAGATTTTAAAAAAAAAAGTAAAACTTGAGTTGGATCTTGGATAAACAGAAAATGCATTAAGTCCAAAATGTAGGATGAAGGAATTCCTACCAGAGAAAACTGTACAGTTGCAAGGAAAATGATTTGGAGGAAATGTGCCAGATACAAAGAAAATGAGAAATTCAATGAGGTCAATTTACTTGTGAGGAAGAAAAGGACAGGAAGGTTGCTGCTTGTTTCTGGATATTTTCTGTTTGGACTTCTATTAGTTCCTCCCAACTTTGCTAGCCCCACAACAGCTGACCAGTACAACAGTTTCTGACTCCTAGCCCTTTGGCTTCGGGCAAAAGAGCAATTGGGTGGTTAATCAAGACTCTGCTTGTCTCTGCCTAAAATGTCTTGACCAAAATTTAAGTGTAGCTACCTTCCTCCACCTCTGGGCCAAAGCACCTCATGAATAATGTGCCAAGTGAACCAAAAAGTGGAAACTTCCGAAGGACATTACACCCCTTCAAAACTGAGCAGTTAACCCAAACACAAAAGACATGCTTGTGGGTTGGAAGGAAATGCACATGATCATATACAGAAATAATGGAAACAAGTTGTCAATGGTATTTCTAAGAGTCAGTCCTGGATGGTGAGTGATTAGGTAAAGAGTAATACTGTGGAGGAAATATCAACAAACACATGCTGCCTCATGCCCATTTGGAAAGGATAGTTATAAAAAGGTATAAAAAGGTTCATATTGCACTTACGTCCAATATGAACATTTTACTTTTCAAATGTTGTTGTTACTGATTTTATGTGGCTTAAGATAAGGTTATCCTTTCTCTAAAATGGTTGGAAGCAAAAGTGTTTATATTTTAGAATTTTTTTAAAATTTCAGAACATTAATCTACACGTAATGAGATAGCTTAGGCATGGGAATCAAGTCTAATGAGCAAATATGTTTATTGCATATGTATTTTCTGAGCACAGTCTAAACTTTTGTATGTTGTCTTGTGTCTGTATGCCTATCTCTGTATCTTTGTCTGTGTCTGTATGTGTCAACAGGTTTCAAAGGAGGACAGAAGAGGCTCCATCCAATCTGCTGGAGCTGGACATGCTGAGCTTTCTGCTGTGGGTGCTGGGATCAGAACTCAGTAAGCAGTGAGAAGTAAGCACTCTTAACCACCGAGCCAACTCTCCATCCTTATAGAACCATGAAACAAAGAAGTTTATGGTGTACAACTTTCCACTTTTAATATAATATCTGTACCCAAAAGTGTTCAGGTTTTGGAGAATTAGGGATTTCTAATTTTTGAATTAAGAGTGTTCATCTTGAATGGTTTTTATAATTAGGCAAATGTATTAAGTACTATTTACTGCATTCAAACCAAAGAAATCTGCCTAGAATTTTTCTGTTGACCTAAGTATTGATATGATCATTTTCCTTCAAAGAATCGACCTTCAGTTTCTGAAGTCTGCTGTGAAGTGATTCTCAATTCCCACAGTCGTAGAACAAATTCTTCCCATTCACTATTGTGGCCAGAGCCGAGAGTATGTTTGGCTGCAGAAAAGGCTCACCTCCAGTGCCTTCTAATGTGAAAAGAGGGTGAGACTGGGTCTTAATAAAATCAGTGAAATCAATGTCGTCCTCCCTCAGCATATCTGAAAGCTGATCAGAGATAGGCTGGCTATGGTCCTTTGACTGACTCTTCGGGGTTTGCTCAAAGGACAGACATAGGTACCCAGGCGAGGGAAAGGGTATGGTCAAAGCTTGAAGGTCAGAGAAGTTAACTTGGTTCAGGAGGGTGTGAATTCCAGGCACCTCAGGTAGAGTGTCTTTAAAATATCTTATCCATGAGCTGGTGGGGATTCTTCTGTTCGATCTAGATGGAAATCTCAAATACCCAAAGAAGAGCTTCTTTGGTGTTGGTGGTTCTGGGCCCTTGAGTTCCAAGGACTTCAAAAACAGGGCTGTAGATCATCTTAACTAGCCATAACCAGGCAATATTTCCAGTGAAAGAAAATGAATGCATTCTTTTCTCGTTTCTTCATATGAATAACATTGTTGGCTTCAGGAGAATATCCTTCTCCAACCTCCAACAATTAATTGGAACCCTAATATATGAAAAAAAATATATGAAAAAAGGAAACAATAAAGATTCCTAAACAAAAGAAGCTCAATCCAACAGATATGTAGAAGGGATTCCTTGTCTCTCTGGCAAGCTTATGTTCTGTGTGTCTTTCAAAAAGTTACCCAAATGCCAGCCTGTGTTATTTAAGAATAAAGGTCACAATTTATTAATAATACTGGCTGCTAAGAAGGAAAATGGTTGAAACCCAAAGTTTCATTCCCCATTTATGAATTATCCAAATCAAGCACCGTAAATTCATGCCATGAATTCACACAATATTTAATTTTTAAAAGCAGCATAAAATTCTAGCTTAACTTCCCAACACAAAAATAGAAAGCTGATAAATATTTTATGCCATTTTGAACTGGAAGTGTTGGAACAAAATATGATTACATTTCCAAAAGCAGAGCCACATGGATTTGATTCTTGCTTCCATTGTACAGATAGTACAAATGCTTCTGAAGTATAGAAATAAAAAACAATTCAACCATAATTAACAATCTATCTGAACCAGTGCATCAGTACAATTCTTTGGAAACAAATGGGATAACTAAGTATCCACATGGGAAGGAATGTGTAGTCATACCTTACGCTGTGGTGATATATATAGTGTTTATGATTTATTATAGCCACTGGAGATCAAAATAGCAAAGCAGCCATACTAATTGCCTTAGAAACCAGGCTCACATCTTTAATCCCAGGATTCAGGATTAAGAGGTAGACAGATCTCTGTTAGTTCAAGGCCACACTGACTGCATGAAATTAATCCAGTTCTAAAAGAAACAGCTAACACAAAGGTGATCTCAGGATATGGGATCACATGCCTTTAATCCCAGCACTAGGGAGGTAGAGACAGGAGGATACCACTGGGCAGAGAAAGGAATATAAGAAGGAGGAGATAGGATTACCATAGAGGTAGATCTACTGGCTTGGCTTCTTTGCTTCTCTGATCTTCATCTTGAAGCCTGGGCCCCAATATCAGTCTCTGGTTCATTTATTTTTTTGTGCTACAAAACAATCTGTGAATAACTGTCCAGGGTGTGTCAAAGAACTAACTGTATGAGAAATATCAGCTATAAATACTTATGATTGTGAACTAAGAATTGTTTTCTTATATATAGCATCAAAAATCACAAGTAATGAACTGACTGGTCATCAAAAAATTTGTGTTTATGAGGACATTACCATGAAATTAAAAGATAGTCCACAGAGCATGAGAAAACATTTGCAGATCATATATGTCATAGAGATCTAGTGTCCTGGATTTATTTTCAAATTCTTAAAACTTAACAATAAAATTAACTCAACAAGAAGTCAACCTAAAAATAGGATAAAAATAGGATAAAGATCAGGACAGACCTTTCTCCAAGAAGATACATAAATGACCAACAAATGCATGGAGAGACCCCAACATGAGCCAACAAAACAGAATTATACTTTCAGAAAATGAGACACATAGTATTGCTGGTGAGCATTTGGAGAAACTGGAAACCTCAGACATTCCTTTTGGAAGTATAAAGTCAGGAGGATTATGGAAAAGTAGTCCAAAATGTAAACCTAGAATTGCCATGCAGCCTAGAAATTCTACTCCTGAGTATACACAAGCACTCCTTGTCTGTCTTTTTATGTCTTAGACTCAAGGTAATTCATAAATTCTAAATTTCACATTGTTAGGAGAAGCATGATGAAATATCATACTGCCCTGCTCCATCTCACTCAAGATGTGAGGCACCCCTTTGTCTACCAGCTCCAGACCATGTATGCTGCCTTGGTTATAAGACAAATTATTGTGGTATCACATTCTTGTGGTCAAGTAACCTTATATAACAGCCTAACACTGTCACAAAGTCTGTGCCATTCACCTCATGTCATTTTGTCACTTGTGTGTGAACTGTGTCCATTCACATCATCATAATGAGCGTGAGTACATTCAGGGAGTATTATGAGAGAGACCACATCCACATAATTCCTGGAATAAATTGCCATAATCAATGTTTTATTACTTTTGCTAATTTATTGCTGGTCCCTGTTTATGAGTTAGTTTATCAGTTATTTAGAGATATCAAAGCTACAGCAGAAAGAGCCCTGGCACAAATAGGAGTCAGTATTGTCTGAAGTTTCAGGCCTCCACTGAAGGGCTTCCAATGAGTTGCTCACAGATCAGGGGGGACTACTGCATACCAGAGAGAAAGGGAAACAGACATTTTTTTCAACATTACTGTTTACAAAACTGAAAACAATATCTATTAATTAACAAGATAAAATATAGATTGCCTTCCCAAAGGGATTTTATTCAGGTGCTTAACATAGCAGGGACCAATGCTATGTTTTGGGGAAAAAGAAGTCATGAAAGTCTAGCTGTTGTACTTCCACTCATAGGTATATGGGTCAACTCAAGCTTATGTCCCATACACTGGGTGGCTTAAACAAAGAATATTTTCCAAGTTCTGGAAGCTGAGAAGTACCAGAGAAGGCACTGAAAATTCCGTTTCAGTGAGAGTGACCTTCCTTCAGAGCATGTCCAGAAAGAGAGAGACCTTTGGTGACTCTTCTTAATGTTACCTTTGTGACCTCATTGTACTGTAACTAACTCCTCTGTGCCCCTGTGTAAAGACAGATCTAGTAGGGATTAGGAGTTTAAGATGTGAAGTTGGAGATTATAGATAAACTGATCTCAGTTCATAACAATTTTGAATATCTAGAAAAGGCAAACTCAGAAATCCTGAAAGCAAAATTGTTGGCTGCTAAGGGGTGGGTGTGCAGTGAGGACAAGGAGTGAGGACACTGCCCTCGTTTTTATTTTTATTTTTATTTTTTATTTTTTTGCTTGGAGGGAGTGCTCAGGAACTAGGCAAGTGATGAACACAGCAGTGTGGCTGTTGGAGATGCTAGTGGGTCAGAGAAGAGCAATTTCTGACTAGGATGTGGAGGACTTGCAAATCTCTTACTCCATTGATGGAAATATGGAAGGTTGTAGCTATTTTTAAGACAGTCGAAAGATCCTTGAGAGGCAATCTAGTATTACTAGTTCCAGAATCTAGTGTAAGACCCCCATGCCCAATTTCCACTGCTAGGTATGTTTCATCAAAAGGAAATCATATGTAGTCATGAAACCTATATACAAGTTGTAATAGTGGAATTATTCATAAGATCCTGAAGGGGAGAACAAGCAAATGTTTGTTGATTCATGAATCTATAAGCAATGGATGGGTAGAAAGAATAAATTATATTTATACAACAAGTATCGTACAATTTTAACAGTTAAGTAGGTTCCAGTTATGGTGGTGCAAACATTTAATCCCAGCACTCACAAAGCAGACCTGTGTGAGTTTGAGACCATCCTACTCTATGTAGTGAGTTCCAGGACTGCTAGGGCTACATATTGACCTGCCTCAAGAAAAAAAAGATGAATGAGGAACTGATATATAGTAAGTGAAAAGATCATGCTAAGTAAAGAAGCCAATTATAAAATCCTATATATTTGATTGAGAAGACTACTCAATAGGTAAAGTATTTGCCATGAAAGCCTGAGGATCTGAGTTCAAATTCCCCAGTACCTATGTAAAAAGTCAGGTGCCCTGGAGTTCACTTGTGACCACAGCATTGGAGGATTAGAGATGCTGACCCTTGGCTTGCTGGCCAGTCAGCCTAACCAAATCAATAACTCCAAATTCGGTGAGAGACCCTGTCTTTAAAAATGATGTGGAATGTTACTGGAGAAGACACTCAATGCTGACCTCTGGCCTACAAAACACACACTCATGCTTTGACCTCTGGCCTACAAAACACATATTCATGAATACACACATACCACCGCATTCGATTACGTGTTGTGAAATGACCAGTTAGGCAAATGAATAAAAACAGAGTATTTTGTTTTTTGGATTGGATTCTGGAAATAGAGTGACACTTACTAAGAGGAAGAATTTCTTCTGAAATGAAGATTTCTCAAATTGCACCATTAAACTTTGAACTTCAAGTTGAAGGATTGCCTAGTGTGGTGATATGTTTATGATTTATTAAAGCTTGCCTGAGGATTAAGAAAACAAAGTCGTCCACAAGCTAGGCACACATCTTTTTAAAATCTTTTTTTTATTTAAATCAGAAACAAGCTTGCTTCACATGTCAATCCCAGCTCCCTCCCCCCAACCGCCTAGAATCCCCAAACCCCCCAGCCCCCCACCCAATCCCCACTTTGCTCTCCAGGGAGGGTGAAACCTTCCATAGGGGATCTCCAGAGTCTGTCATTTCATCCAAGGCAGGGCCTAGGCCCTCCCCCATGTGTCCAGGCTGAGAGAGCATCCCTCAATGTGGGATGGGCTCCCAAAGTCCATTTGTATGCCAGGTTTAAATACTGATCTACTACCCCAGGCCCCAGAGATTGCCGAGGCCTCCTCACTGACACCCAAATTTAGGGGGTCTGCATCAATCCCATCAGGCACACACCTTTAATCCCAGTAGCCAGAAGCTAGGAGGTGGTAGTACACAAATTTAAT